ATGATCTCTTTACAGTTATTTTAATATATCCATCTAAGAATTTAATTATGTTACATCTTACCCAGTCAGAAGAACAAGGTTTAAAGTATGTGAATTTATTGGTGTTATTTTAACTCCTTCTGCAACTGACTCTCTTGTAACAATGGTAAGTGATAATAGAAGTCAAATAAGTTAGAACTTGGAATTAACACTAATAACTAATGGATAATTGACTATTTACCACATGTTCGTTATATATCTAATTTCAACAACTATTTCAGTTATGTATGTCAGTAATCTGTACTTAACTTTGAAGATAAATGAACTCTATCTAAAAAGCATGTATTTGAAAATGTGCAGTCACTATAGCAAATTACTCAAAGAAGAAAGTGGTAATTTTGTTAGATGTTTAGTATAAAATGATACAAAAATCAAAATAACGGTTTCAAGCAAATTTGAAGTTTTTGGCATATTTGCGATTGATGATTATTTTTCTCAAAGTTTTGACCAATTATAACTTTTTTATACTCGTATTCTTGGATTTAGGTCTATTTATCATTTGAAAAATTGCCAGATTCCTCTTGAAAACACAGTTTGAAGGGCAAACTTGCTTTTGTATTTTTGTTACAATCTTATAAAAATCTCTTTCTATTTTCCTTGTAAATAACCTAATAGTTTTAGTGGAAAATTAGACATTGTAAATAATGTAATGAATTGTTTGTTTTTTAATTTGTATCTCATAAAATGTTATAAGTATTTGGAAGACAATAAGGTATGTTACACAATTGAATTTAATTTTAATTTCGTGTCTCCTCTGTACTAAAACTTTATTTAATTTAGTTTTATGTGAGGCATAGTTAATCCTGATTTAGTTTATATGAAGATTTTCATTGCGAGTTATTTTCTTGGCATGTTAATGACTGATTTCTTTAATTGCAAAACTGATTATAAATATCTCTAAGCAACAGAAATTTATGGTTTTTGATATTAACATCTCGCAAATATCAGAGTGTTTCAATTTAACTAACTGGAAATTTCGCCAATAACCATTACATCATTTCCAGACAAAATTAGCTTTTATTAACAATCAAACATTCGTCAAAGTTTCAGGCATTATATTGGCAAGGTTGGTAAGTTACTGAGAAAAGAAAAAAGCACACGGCAACAATAATGCCCTAATCAAAGAAGATAATGGTCTTTCGCACGTTCAACAAAGCATTGAATTATTTGACAATTACCTGTTGAACAATATTTTAGTTGATTAATTAATAATTTTCAATTTTTTTCTAAAGAGGGTTAAAGTGGGCAGTAAAATATACCTCCTTTATCACGACCTAGAGAAAAATGAAATAAAAACTTCTCCCAGCTAGTATGTGTCCTAGAGACAAACTCGAGAAATAACTTTGTTACAGTTATATCCTGCCGTGAAAATTTAGGCTCTTTGATAATACATGAGTTATTCCAGAAGAGATCACTGGTACATCGATTCCAATTCAATTTCTTGCAATGTTTGTATAATTATCTAGTAGGCCTACATTTCTTATTTGATGTCTTCCTGTTTCTCCATTTGAATAATGCCAAATGTATCCATAAGCACATAAAAATCAAATGAAAATGTGAATATACGTTCGTAGTTGTATAGGAAGTGTTACCAGCCAGACTTTTCGTTTAGTAGAAGAATTATATACTTTCATGCCTCTGGAATGTATTGAATGAGTTGAATTGCTGAGATGCTTCTACCAATCACATTGAAGAAGTTGAACTGTTCAGTAATTATTTTAAAAGCAACTTGGGACGTACATATCAAATATCAAGAAGGAAATTGTCTTGAAAGTTTTCATCTGAACCAAATATATGAGAACATCTTCCAAACAAAATTTTTTACTGACATCAATTTCTGTATCAATAGATTGAATGAATGAATACATTTTATTCACCTCATTGTCAAACTTGCTAGACAATCTCTTATTATTCAACTCATTCGAAACCAAGTCATTACAATAGGTATTGCTATGTTCACATGTATTTTATTTTTTAAGTTTAATGAATTGAGAGAATAAGTGGGAACAATTGTTATCATTTAAGAATATATTACTGTACAAAAGTGTTACTTCTTCAATTTTTAAAGTTTCACCTTTAACAATTATTTTCAAAGATTTATTTCCCATTTCCTTGTAACCTGTTAAGCTATATTAGTAATACAGAAATTATATTACTGTTCTATTAATAAAGGATGATTTGTTCGTAATGTGTCTTTTTTCCATAATTCTTTCACCATTTTTTCAACCTTACTCATGTAGCTCTGTTTGGAACTTTTTATTCATTTATGACTCTTACTTGGCACTTTCAACGCCAATTGTAGCATAGTTGAACAGATCTATCATGTGAATTTTCCGCAAAATTCCATAATTTCATATATTTTTTATTTCTATACACATCATTCCACATCAGATATCAGTCATTGAAATGCCAATAGTGGGGGAGGAGGCCAAGAACCGGCTGTGATCTCCTACAGCATACAAATATAAGCAATTTAAATATAAAATGGTGCTAATTGAAAATAAATAATGAAAAATATTGAAGTTGTCACAGAGGTCAGGTATTTGGGTTTAATGTTGAGCAACAGTTTTACCTTTCAACGAACATTTCAAATATTTTGATAAAAAAATAGCAAAGAAACCTTACTTCTTCATTAGAATTTTTACCCACCTATCAACTATTTCCATGGTAACATTCTACAGCATTTTTATTTAACCTCACTTTGATTTTTTGCAGTTCATTGTTGTATGGTTTGAACCAAAAACAAACGTAGCAGAAGTTACAAAATCGAGGATATCATTTATGCTTGATTGATTACAGTGGTTATCAGTACATGACAGGTTGTATAGGTCAGCACAGCTATTGATAATATGTTACCATCATATATCGATGAATTCATCCACTATCGAAATAGTACTCATAATTATGAAACAAGGAAAATCAATGACTTTCATCTACCAAGGTACAGCTTGAGAATTCTATTTTATAAAGGTTTGAATAAATTCAAAACGTTACCGGAAGACATCAAAAATAGTAACAGTTTATACATATTTAAATCCAAAATTAATAACTATTTGAAAACTGAACTGGAGTAGTGTTGATGTTATTTAGTGATTCTACACTAATACTCTTGCTATATAGTATTTTTTCTTTCTTCATAATACCTACTGCCATAAATTTTTATTTTCTTTATTATGCACTTTCAATAAACAGATCAGATATGGTTTTAGTTTATATGTCATTATTAGTTTGGGTTTTTCAGTTTTTATTTTACTCTTTTATTATACATGAAGGAATATCTTTGAATGCATTTGAGTTTTTGTTTATTTTGCATGGTACACTTTGTATGATGTATGCATATTAGAATATTTTCTATTTAAATGAACTCATTCATTCGTTCATGAACTGATATGATTCACAAAAATTACTTCGCTCCACCACTAATTCTGTTACCTTATCAATTTGTAACCAATGCCCCGAAACATAACATCAAACATGTTCCACTCGTTGCAAGATATTACGGTTCGCTTCCAGAACATTAAAGGTTCTGGCCGTGTAATTTATTCCGTAATGTAACCACATGGGATACAAAACAATGATGCATGCAACAAACAAAGATATGCATTACTTTAATATTCGTCCTAACTTGTCGGCGTTAGTAAGGAAAAATCCCTTGATGAGACGACAAACAACCGTCCAAATGATGGTTCGGCTTGTAACAGTTACGTGTGTCAAAGTGATTACGCTACATCATACTCTCGATCTCTCTCTCCATATTCTAACGAACGCACATCTAATGGGCAGAACTATATGGAAATTTAAAAAGCTTTCTCTATATTTGACAAGCTGTACATGTTTGAGAATGATCTGAAAGAAGAAATTAAAAATAGTGTACGGAGTTCAAGTGAAAGTGTTCAATTTATATCTTTTATCTTCAAAAAAGGTGACAAAACCGATATTATCAATTAGAGGCCGGTGGTAGTGTTATCAGCACCAGCCAAACTTTTCGAGATTGTCATTGTCAAGCATTTCTATAGATTAGTTTTTTCTAAAATATCACAGTTCCAACATGGCATCATGAAAAGAAGATCCCGTGTTAGTAATCTTAGCAATGTTACCCAATTTATAGTTGAAAACTTGGATATTCGTGTTCCAGTAGAAATTATATACACGGACTTGGGTTAAAGGTTTTAATAAAGTCTCACATCCAATTCTTGTAAGAACCCTAGATTATGATTTCGGTTTTCATCCCAATCTGATGAAAATTTTCAGTTCATATCTAACCAATCGAAAACAAAGTATAATAATGAAAGGGCATAACTCTAGTCCATTCATTGCATCGTCTGGAGTTCCCCAGGGTTCCAACTTGGGTCCTTCGTTATTTATTATATTTATTAATAGTCTTGTAAAAAATATCACATCATCTTGTTACTTGCTGTTTACAGATGACTTTGGACATTTTTAGAAGAATATCAAAAGTTAAAGATTGTGTACATCTACAAAACGATATAAATAATAACATCTTTGAATAATCAAAAAAGAACAAATTGTCATTCAATATTCAAAAGTGTAATAGGTACTATAACCTTCTCCCGAAAAAAGTAATTATAGTATACAGCTAGGAGATGGATGGTATAAAACTCGCAGAACTTGAGAAATGTTATTTAGATCTCATATACTGAATATAACTAACAAAGCCTCAAAGATGTATGGGTTTGTAGTTCGCAACTCTAGGCAATTCAACAAGGTTACCTGCATCAAACATCTGTAGGTATATCACTCTTATTAGAAGCATTTTGGAATATGCTTCCGTTATCTGGTGATCTCAATATAAATGTCACAGGTATAGCATTGAAAGAGTTCAAAATTTAAACGAGTAATCAGAGATTGATATTTCATCAGTTCGGACTTCCATTGTCTAATATAATATACATTAATTTGAAATCCCTGAAAAAAATTAAAATAGATTAACCGAAAATAACAATTTGATTAAACAAAAAACTGAAATTATAAAGAAATATCATGCAAGCAACAACCAAAAAAATAAAAAATTGAAATGTTAATAAAAGCTGAAAAATTAAAAAAAAAATAAAATTTGGTTGGCGAATATATAAACTCGACTTAATGGGTAATCCAACACTGTATAACTGTACGGAGGCTATTTTCCGAGTTTTATGCCTGACGTGTCATCTACTGCTGCGGTAGACATTTTCAAAGATGATGTATTAACGGTCGCAATACCCACATGAGAAAGCTATTATATAGCGAAACACATGTTGCAGTTTTGTAAACTGAAGTGTTACATCTCAAGGAGTGTTTGACAATAATTTGTTCATTTCCTTGTTATAGATACCAGTCCACAAACATGAGCAATTTCAAGAAAGTAATTCACAGTAAAGGTCGAGAAAACATCTATAATTGTTATAAGTTTGAGCTAACCGAGAAAGATCGACAAGCTCTAACAATTCCTATAAGCAATCTTCAAGAGAGAGATACAATAAAAACTACTAAACCAATCTTCAACTCAGCCAGTGTGAACTTTGGACTATTGCAATTCGATTAAATAATAATATCGTCTTAATTATCTTCTAATAAATTTAAAGCAAATTAATCAGGTACAGTTTACTTATTATACGAAGATAAAAGGCAAAGTTCAATTTACATGATGACAAGTCATCATTAAAATGAATAGTTGAATCAAAATTTTCAGTTTCCACTTGAATAATTTTGTGATTTTTACTGTATAAGCGACACACAGATATTTTCAAAGTCATACTGTACCTATCGAACCTCCTTTACAAGAGAAAATCTACAGTAGTTTTTGATTTTTATACCTGCAAATTTTAACGAAATTTGACGAGGTATTTTGAAAGTTTTCTTCTTGCACTTGAAACAAGTAAGTAAATTTTTCATCACAAACGAATATCTCCCTAAATGAACTAAACCGATCATGTTTATTACTTATTACTTTCTGGTCGATGAATATAACAAATAATTGAAAAAACATGAAAATGTTCAGTGATAGACTTGTGATTGAACGTTTCTTGATGAATTTCGTTCATTATTTGAAAGTCCAACCATAACTTGTGTTGAACAAAAAAAGTCCCTTCCTTTTGACTATTGAATTTATTAAATGTCATTTTACACATTAAAATGGATCTTTATAAGTGTATAATGAAAAATGTACTATGAAGCAAATAAATAGCATATTCACTATTTCAAAATCTATATTTAGTATTGATCTTCACATAATTAGACAGCAGTGCTGATAATTTCAGTATATTTTTTTATTTTGCTAGCCACAGACATGTCTACATATCTGTCCCCAACACTGACGATCATTCCACCTATAATACTTGGATCCACTTTAGTAGTCAAATTAATGGTCTCTTTAGGTTTCAAAAAGGATTTCAAAACCGCTTGCAGTTTTTGTTTCTGATCAGAATCCAATTCCTTGGCAGTAATGACCTCACATGTAACCTAAAATAAATATTTTATAGTGTGCTAAGTTTCAAGGATGAAAACTATAGACTATTATCATTATTGATATTCAATATTTATTTGATACAAAACCAAGATTTTTCATTTCTAAGATAACTATGTTCCCCAAAGTTGTTTACTAAATTATGCTGGTTACATAAACAATCCAAAATAAACACTGTTTCCCACACACCACAACCACAACACTCTTCTTGACATGCATTTCAGTAATAAAATATATACTACTACTGAAACACATCATCAGCTGATGATACCAACATGTCTGGTGAAAAATCTGTTGAGAAGAATGTTCCAGTTTTGAAATAAGAAGTTAAAATCTCTACCAAGTATTCCATCCACTGCTTTTGATATTAAATGTTGACATTTCCAATTATAACATTATCAATTCCAGTCTATACAGTGATTATAGATAATCAATTTATATTAGAACTAAAAACACGGAAACCAACATCAAAATGAGTTTTAGAATTATTGGCAAATGAGGCTGTCAAGTGGATTATATGAAAATGTATGTAAAATACATTTAACTGCCACCCAAAGTCTATGTTTTGTTCATTAAATATTAGTGGTGGACTTTATATAGATGCAGTTGGGAAATGACCAATGTAAATTGGGACATTTTCAAATTTGTCACTCCTTCTTTGTATATAAACGAGACACATTTTTCAAGTAAATTCTCAAAGATTCTTGCATATGGGTGAATGAAGTTCAGAGAATCTGGTTGCTGGAAATCCTCGTTGAGGGTTTTATTGAAGAAATGGGTAGAGAACAAGATATATCAACTTTTCACCAAACACTCTCAAAAACTGATAAGGCTCCAGTTCAAGCCTTTTACGATAGTTGAAACAACAGTGATACTTTTTACAAAAAAATGATGTGTAATCAATTTGTAAGTCAACAAGAATTACAAATATTGAAATTTTATTTCAATTATTATCAACACTTGCTTATATTATCGGCACATCTCTTATATTAATCAATATAATAAGTGGTTGAGAAGACCAGCTCCTCCTAGCATTCAAAATTGAAATTTTTTTCTCCTTCCAATTTCGAAAGAGTTAAACATAAATGTCATCTAGTATCAACAATTTATTTTCAAATTATACATTTCCTGACAGTTGTGGAAAATTGATGTTGTGCCTCATCCTGCATGAAAATTGAGTTAGAAAATGTATAACCTAGATCGAAACCTGTTGGGAAAATAGTAGCCAGATATCCAGTTTAACTAATTGCCTATCGGATTTCTATATACTTTTATTTTCCTAGTATGTATAGGCACATAGTATGTATAGATATTTCAAATGTATTGCTAATATGTACTGCATGAAGAATAACTTCTACAATTTTTATATGTATTTCTGATAGAACTAATGCAAAATGAAATGGTGTACTGAACAATAAACAATACTTGGTAAAATTTTCAAGAATTCACATTTGGTATTTTAGTTTATTTCGAAGATATCTCTTAAGGGGCTGATAATAGGTACCTTGGCCTCAATTTTTACCAAAAAAATTTAAAAAAGGTTGTGATTATTTTATTTCTTGAGGGAAAAATGTGTAATAGCTGGTTAATGCAACACATTTATCAAGACTAAGAACTGAGAGTTTACCTCTTTTATTAGTTGAAAAAAATGAATGAAATAATGTTGAAACGTTTTTGTTTATATGGAATTTTTTTCAATAGTACCATAAAATATTGAATGAAGAATACTTTTGGTTATGTTAACATGTGCATGAACCGGACAGTCTTCTGTTAGGTATAGTCCTAATTACTGGTCACTGGCTTTCATTCTTAGGTATTATTGCATAAACCCGCTAATAAATTGTTAAAAACAAACCTCTCCTCTGTGAGCAGCCATGATTGTTCTGTAGGCATTAATAACGCCGTCCAATTTTCCCAATCGACCGTTCTCTGCCAAAAGTTGTAAAAGATTATCCGTTTCAGATTTCAAAGAAATTTTTTGGGCAACTACTTTAAGAGCATCTGACTTTGAGCTACGCTTTACGGTTGGGTTTTCAATTATTCCTCGTATTTTGGGGTCACTTTTCATTGAAGTTTGTAACTTGAGGAGATCCTTCTCAACAATTTCAAGGGTTTTTCGTTTACTTGCAGCTGAGTACAAGGCAGTAGCATAACGCCCCTCAATGCCGAAAATTTGAACTGGTGGTTTCACGAGCTGGTTCACAACATTGCTTGTACTGAAAGTACGTACCTAAGAAGAAAAAAATTATTTTATCACCTGGTTATGTAACCCAAGAAATTTTCGAGGTGAATATCCATTTGCTAGCTATTCAATTTCTGGAAAATCAATTGTAACTCACAGCCATAGAAAGTTTTTGAGTAGCCATCTTCAGATATGAAAGGATTTATTCGAATTGAAAAATTCGACAACTTCAATATTACATCAACTTCCACTCAAAAACTTGAAATAGGAGTGTCAGAACTGTCAGATGCCAGAATTGTCAGATTTCGGGTTGTATTAAAATCTCAGAGTAATAATAAGACATAGAGTTGCCATGTCTATACCAATACAATACACAATACATGTGTTTTGAAACGGGTATCGTACTATCCTTTTCTGTACAACTTGACGGCGCGGGGAGGGTGGCGGGTAATGAGGGGTTATGTAGAGTTTCTTTTCATTTGAAGTAANATTCCATTCATCTAATGTTCGTTATATATTTCAAATAATTATGTAATTTATCTTTCTACATGTTGCATTGAAATTTTTCGAATGTATAATGTTGCTGTTTTTGTAGTAATGTCTTTAAAAATATTTTATTGAACTTATGTGTCATACATTTAAGTCATTTCTATATGTAATATATACCTTGTTTTTTTTATTTCTACCATTCTAGTTGATTTGTATATTATTAGGATATCCTATTTAAATGAAGATCTATCTATCTATCTATCAGTGTGTGCATTGGGTCTTTATTTTCTCCTAACAGTTTCGTGCTTGTCCACCTGAAGTTCAGCGAAGATTTGACTTATGACATGACGTTATGACATGACTTGACCCTATCTGACGTTTCCCCACCCCTCCACACGCATATTCCAATTTACAATTTGCGAGGTTTGATGTTTGATATAAACTTAATGAATGAAGGAAAGTGTAGAACAAACTACACACAATGCATCTAATAAAAATGATTTGATGAATTTTAGATATTTTAACTGTGTGAAATCATATCAGAATAGTTCAATTTATTTTATATATATCTTTGGAAATTAAATAATAAGATGCTAAAGGTATACGGGCCTTTGTATTTGATTTTAAAATACTGGTTTCATATTCCATATATTTTCAGGAAAAAGGGCAATTGAAATTTGAAGACAAATGGCCTCATATGGGCCCAATTGTTTTGAAATTGCTCAAACAAGAACCGGTTTCACCTGCAGAATGGCAAGAATTATTTTATGATGTACACTTAGTATGTCTTTGGGATGAAAAAGGGCCGGCGAAATTACGAGAACATCTCCATGAAGACATAGTAGATTTCATTAAACAAGCGCAAACTCGGGTTCTTGCACATCGTCAAGAAGAAGCATTATTGAAGGCATACATAGCAGAATGGAAAAAGTTTTTCACCCAGTGTAATTATCTTCCAACGCCATTCCGGCAACTCGAAAGTAGCTTGCAGGGTAAACCAACAACGTCCAGTTCAAATGTGCAAAACAATACTAATAAAAAAAGTCTGGGAGATGAGAGCATGGTCCGAAAGCTTATGCTAGATTTGTGGAATGAAAGTATTTTTAGTGATATAAAACACAGATTGCAGGAGAGTGCTATGAAGTTGGTACATGCGGAGAGGAATGGGGAAGCTTTCGACTCTCAATTAGTAATTGGTAAGATTTTTTTATAGTGCCTGTGCCATCAATTGGTAAGAAAAGAACATTATTGAACATTGGTTTCATTTATGATCGAGACTCCAAGAGGAAACAAAAGTTTTATATTAATCACGTCTGAAAATATAATAATTACAATAAAATACAACTATTCTGCATTATGTTCAATATATCAAATTATCTGAGTAATTGATTATGTGTCTGCAATCATAAAATATAGCTCATAAAATAAGATATAGTCATAATATATCTCCCATTAAAAATTCAAATAGATGAATGCCATTCAGTGTAAAATTTTAACAGGATCAGCTACTGGAAATGATTTCCTGAAAATCTACACATTTCAATTGTATTCAGTATTATGAATATCTACAATGAATGTATATCATTCAAATTTTCAAAAATTGTTTCAATGTTCATGCTGTAAATACCTTCATACCCTACTTTATTTTTCATTTATTTTTACACGTTCCTTATTGTGTGACAACTATTTGTTGAGTTTGTTAGC